TATGTGTATTTTAAAATAAAATATTATTTGTGAATATTTAAACGGATTATGAAAAATTCTTTCCATTTTAAGATGTTAAGCCTTGTCACACGCTATGCGTGTCCGTCGTTTAGGTTAGTAACTAATATGCTGTATGCCCTATGTAGAAATAAGATAGCATTATCAAAGTTATTTGTTTTGCAGTATTGCAGTAATTATACATATGTTGTCAGTAAACCTGTTTCATTGTAAAGTTTTGACAAATCACAATACACTTCCTCCTGTGATGCAAGTTTTTTTTTTGTTTGTGTGGTTTTTTTTCTATTTATGTATTTATCATACATAATATGTATATTATTTGTATTAATACAATTCAAAAGTGAAAAAGCATAATAGGACCCCTTTAATTACCTGTCTTGTGCAACCATTATGAAAATGGCACTGTGTAGGCCTACAACAAAGACCTGCATGTGCACTTCAAAAATACTTCTTTTATTCTAAGACTCTCTGGAATACTTTAATCTGATTGGCTCCATAACATTCAGCAGCAATCAGGTTTTTTTCCTGAATAGTGACAGCTGACAACACTGTCAACCGAAGGCTCCTTCATACTTTGCTCTGCAGTCTCTAAGTAAGCTAATAAAATGATATAAACGATATAATCAATATTTCAGTGCGATTCTGCAACCCTCGCAAAATGGCGCCCACGCGCACAGGCAGAAGCGCACCTGCGCGTCACAGTGAGCAGCGATAGACATCCGTGCGATGATTTATCAAACACTTGAAACATGATTACATGACACAGCACACACCATTATGACCATGCAAAGCCGTTTCTAATGCAATCACTGTTGAATTTCAATAGGCCATTTGCATTACAAATTTGAATGTTAAAATAATGAATTTCAATAGCCATCGAGTGGATGTCTGGTTCGCCATGGGAGCAGAGGCTGTTATCTCCTCGCCTATATATTTTAAGAACCAAATGTGGCGTCTGCAAAGAGCTTGAAACGTGAAATAGCCTACATACACAAATGGCAATATGGCAAAAGTGGTTATTTCATAAGAAGGGCGACTGTCATCTGAGAACCCCCCTTTACTGATTTAACGGCCTGATAATATACATTTATGTAAAATGGATAAACATGGCACACAAAGCAAAATGCTTGCCTGTGCTGCTCTACGGAGCTTCATTAGTTAATGCAACGATGGTCTGTCTTCCTTTATTATAATCTGACATAACGAATGATCATCTCTCACCAGGCTCGTGGATCCCAGGGTTGTCGCTCATCTCCAGCACCAGAAGCTCTCGGCCCTCGTAACTCTCCCCCACCGTGTAGATGCGGGTGATGGAGGGGCACTGCAGCCACACGGACACCAGCGCTTTCCGCATCTCCTCGTATCGGTGGTACTCAAACGAGATTCCTCCTTCCTCCGCAGCATCCCCGCCCGAGGCCAGAGCCAGCATCAGCAAAGCCCCGCAAAACACCGCCGCTGTCATCACTCCCGTCTCTCAAAGCACTCGACCCTTCTCTCTCTCTCCGCCTGTTTCTATTCTGTCGCTCTTGGCACCACTGTCAGTCTTTCTTTTCTTTCCTGTCTGCTTTTCCCTCTCTCGTTTTCTGCGTCGTGTCCCGTATAGAGCCGCAGAACTGATGCGGTGCTACCCCTGCAGGGGCGTGGCTTAAGTAATGACGACAGTGTTGCATAAAGTATCCAGATGAATTAAAAGATACTCTTATGGATATCGACTCAAGTAAAGTTAAAGTAGCTCATTAGAAAAACACATAAGTAAACGCATTACAGTAACTGCTATCAAAAGTAGCATGTAGATTTTATAAACAACGGCTAAGCTGATAGCTGAGTGGTGGGTTGCTGTGTTAGGATATGTAATTAATAAACATTAAAAGGATTGCTCACTCAAAAAAATGAAAAACTTTCATCATCATCATTCACTTATCATCCTCGTGTCTGAACTTCTTCTTCTGCAGAACATAAATTGATTTTGTTGTTAATCTTGGTTAATGTTAATTATTGTTAGGTCATGTTAATTAACTGGGCTATACCATTAATGCATATCTGACAATAATGTGTCTATACAGTCATAAACTCTGGTCCCACTTTATATTAGGTCTTTAAATACTATGCACTTAATAATAAAATAATGAATAGGTGCAATGCACCTATTGTGTTCATGTTAAATTGCTAAACACTTTTTCTGCGATTGAGGTTGGATATGGGTAAGGTTAGGGACAGGTTTGGTGGTCTGGTTTGGTTTAAATGGTAGAGGTGGGGTCAACAGTGTAATTATAGATTTAACTACAGAAATGAATTACAGATGTAATTACAGGATGGTATTTTCAAATATAAGTACAATGTTAAAATATGCATGTAGTGCATTGCATCAAATGATTAATTTAAAAGCACATGGTAGTTAAGGACACTTAATATAAAGTGGGTCCTAAACTCCTACTTCAAAAACTACTTCGTAAATTACATTGAAATGTTATACTTGTGTTCTATATTAAAGTGAAATCCATTGTTTACACAAGGAAGTGATTATAATATAATTACGAGAGAAACTGGGATGCAATACCCAGCTAAACTTTTCATTAGGATTACAGACTATGACAAAATCATCATTTACTTCATGATAATGTCTTGAGTTATCATTATAGATACTTGACATCACAGAAACGTAGAAATATATATTATTAATATACATATAAGCTATAACTACATATATAATAAAAAGAGATTGTTTAATACCCCTCACAAAAAGTACTGTGGCAGTACCATAATGAAGTGATGTATCAGAGGGTAATACCACACACAGCATGATATGGAATTCATATACTGTGATATTCACGTGGTATGCTGGTTCATGTCCAAACCCCCATGGTGATACCATGGTATTTTTTCGTACTTTGTTGTTGTATGTGACATGTACAATGTAAAGTGTGAGGTGAGTCTATTTTTGGAAACACAGTAATGAAAAACTTTGATTAGGATCTAAGGCGCCCCCTGCTGGCGACCCACCCACCTCGCAGGAGTTACCCCACGACCAGCTTCATGAGGTCCCCTGGAGGTTCCTAGTGCTACACTCCAAGTACTAAACTAAACTAAAGGCCAGTGGTCCCCATATAACCCCAGAATGAGCTCATGAAGCCAGGAACCCATGTAACCAGCGCGCTAGATATTCCGTATTTATAGCCAATGTTAGTCATACTGAGAAAAAGAAAAAGAAAATAAAGAGGGCATTTTCCCTTCAGCTCTGAGTGTCTCTCACTTACTCAGACCTCTTTGCGAACCGGTTTGACAGATTCAAAGCAACTGAATTGATCAATTGGTCTTTGGAATCAAACAAAAACAAAGAAGTAGACCCTATATACTAACATAAATATATGCAACTACATAATGAAAGGAGTTTCTGTTTAATACCCCTCACAAACAAAGGGTGGATTCAAAAGAATTGAACTGACGCAAAGGATCCTTTTTGTGATTTTGCAGTTGCCAACGTCATGAAAGGGTCTGGAGAGATGTATCAGTGTAAAAGTATACATTTCCTCTGTAGTTAAGAAAAAAATAGAAGTCAACAAAAACATGCATACGAGTAATGTAGAAATTTCCCAAAACTGAAAAAATCTTTAGCAAAAAATCAGGTAAGGCAACAAAGCAAAAAAAGGCTTTACAAAAATAACAATTTAAAACATTGCATCTTTGTTTAGGTGAAAGTAAAGTGCGTTTGAAGAATAATGTCATTATTACTTGAAACAAATGAATGTTAATAATAATTGAGAGCACAGAACACATGCTGAAATTCTTTCATTCCTAACAAACAGTCTATTGTTGTACCGTGAGCTGTGGGGTGTGTTTTCTCTTTTCAAAGGCACGGCAGGTAAGAAGCTGGCATTGATTCGAATCCATTCAGTCTGATTTTAAATACTTTACAGTGAGCGAGTGCAGTGGAAGACAATGCAAAAGCATCAGACCAACCAAAGCCCACACAGGAGTCCATGAGAGATAGATTGTTCTGGGTGATGGTGAGGCATCGGTGTACACGAGTAAGTGTATCTCTGTCAATCAGTCGCTCTTCACAGCTTTATGTTGTGTGTAATGTTTCTTAAACTGCGAATCAGTGTTGAAAAGTCTGTCCCACCAGGTGAATGTGGATCCATAGTTGCCCACAAAATTCATGTGGTGGAAGTCATGGAAACGAGCTCCAGCGTAGAATGGAATCAAATGTAGGGGGTTCAGAGGAATGTCGTAACCACTGAAGAGAAGGCAAAAGAAGGAATGGCAAAGAATGAAACGCATACATATCAAGATAAATCAGGAAACATATTTTATCAGGACATATTGTCCACACAAAATATAGTCCTAGAATTCTCATATGTGACCCTGGAGCACAAAAGCAGTCTTAAGTCGCTGGGGTATATTTGTAGCAATAGCCAAAAATACATTGTATGGGTCAAAATTATTGATTTTTTTTTAATGCCAAAAATCATTAGGATATTAAGTAAAGATCATGTTCCATGAAGATATTTTGTAAATTTCCTACTGTAAATATATCAAAACTTAATTTTTGATTAGTAATATGCATTGCTAAGAACTTCATTTGGACAACTTTAAAGATGATTTTCTCAATATTTAGATTTTTTTGCACCCTCAGATTCCAGATTTTCAAATAGTTGTATCTCGACCAAATATTGTCCTATCCTAACAAACCATACATCAATGGAAAGCTTATTTATTCAGCTTTCAGATGATGTATATATATTTAAAAAAAACACTTAGGATTGGTTTTGTTGTCCAGGGTCACATATAGTCAAACTTGTGAATTAGAAGGTGGTGTCCATATATTTCTGCTCATGGAGTTTTATTGTGCACAGGCTTTTAAATGAAAGCATTATCAATATAGTGCCCCCTAGTGTTGCAGTAAGTTATTATCAGCATGACTGTGTTGACATTGCCAGCTTTTTTTTAAATTTAGTCTTAGTCCTGTGTCAAATGACCTTTTTAGTTTTTAGCATTTTGTTTAAGTCTGTGAATTTTAATCTAGTCAACGAAACTCACAATTTCGCTCAATTTTAATCATGATTACATATCGTGATTGTTGTCATTTGAGACATTTATTTTTACATTTTACATTTCTTTTTACATTAATTCCTAATATTAATTCCAATAATTAGAAACTATGTTTCTGTTTTTCTATATGTAAACAACAACAAACAAGACTTGTTTTGCCACATTGAGGTTGCATATGAGCATTTATTCAGTGACCACAATCACAAACAATACAGTCGAGATCCATGTTTGGTTTATTAAAGTTCATCGCTGAGAAGGTCTGACCACAAATTTAGTCGCAGCAAGGCAAACAGCACATTATTACACTTTCATTTGTGCATAGTTACAGTTAGTGGTTCACGATGTTGGCATCATCTTTTTGACGTCTCATCTCATTTTTCAGCATAGTTTTCGTTAAGAAAAGTAAAACTACATCCACATAAATGCAGGGTGTGTACTGAGCTTACCTGTGAACATCAATGGTTTCAAGCAGCCGGAAAGCGACCCAGGCCCAGAGCAAAATCATATGATTGCAGAAGACCATGATGCCAATGAAGAATCCGGCCCCCAGAATCACAGTCTCAGCAGGGTGGGCATATTCTGCCTGCATGCCAAATGGAGCCTAACATACACACAAACAAACAAACAGATGATAGATCATATATCATTATTAGGATGAAAATGAACTAAAAAAATTAGAATTTGCGAAGAAAAAAAAAAAAGACTGAACCTATAAATTACTAGTGGTGTAACAATACAGGTTTTGGTTCGATACAGCCAGGTTACAATACAAAATAATTATTACTTCTAAGACATATGATAAACAGTTAACAAAAGTACTGTTCATTAAAATGCAATTTTGGTATTTTATCAGGGGTGGACTTGAATAGGCTTGGACTTTGTCCTTCTCCCTCATGCACAGGGCGATGGTGACACCAGTATAGATTTAAATTTGCTTGCAAATTTAAAAAGCTTTAAATATTGTGTTTTATTAACTAGTATTAAATACTGTATTGTGATATATTGTGAATATTGTGCATAAATTACAATATAAAACGAACATAAAAAAATATTTAATAGTATAAATTCACTAAAATTGAATTATGATTGAACTATCTTGGCTATCTTATAGTTTCTCTGCATATTGTGTGTGTATTTGTGAGAGTGCGAGTAACTTACAGTGAAGTCATGATGGACTTTATGAATGTACTTGTAGATTCTGCGATGATGTAGGGCTCGGTGGAGGAAGTAATGCCATGTGTCCTCAATCACTGCACAACCAAAGCACTGGGCCAATATAAAAGACCTGAGATGGTGAAAGAGATTATAAAGAAAAATGAAAACAAGACCCACTTGCTTTGGTTAAAGCCAGAGTACAACCTCAGGCTCAACCTTGACTGCACTTTATAACCAGGTGTTCTCACCAGCGAGGCATGGAGTCCCAGTCATACGGGATGCTGAAGAACTCAGTGAAGTAATATGTCCCGCAGATGAGCGGTAGCTGGATACAGAAGTGATTAAACAGCAGCATCTTAAAGCACTTCCACTGTTTCTCCCATGTCTCTGGTTTATCCTGCAAGCAGAATGACAAAAACATATATAAGGAGTTAATAAAACCTTTTTTTTTCTATTTCTAACAACAACAACAACAACAACAACAAAAAGCTATAAATATTCAATTTAAAATAATAGTAGATGAAAAAAATTCTTTGATTGCACATACCGGTTGGATCTTATACTTCTGCATGAAAGGGAGGAACTGGAAGATGAATCCAGGCAGACAGAACAGGAAATAGATCAGTTCATGGATGATGAGCGAGCCCCAGGTGGCGATCTGGAACTTGCTGTAGTTCTGCAGCATGTGATTCCATGCGTGCTTCAGAGGTTCCTGCAGCGGATTTCCTGGAAGAAATGAATCCACATATTCCACCGCCAGAAATGCCGAAGACAGAATGTCGGCTGTGCCGTTCACCTCCATGGCAGCTCCAAATGAGTAACTGTATTTAAACAAATGACATGAATAAAGATCAATGAGGCTCAGTTATCTCTCTCTCAGTGTGTGGCATGCCTGAAGGACAGGTAGTTCATATTGAACTGCATGCATCGTATCAGGACAGTGTTATAAAGGAACATGAGTTACAGACAGACATGTTCATTCAGTCTTTTGTCACTAGTACAAGTCTTTCAAATCCTAAATCAAAGTTTTCAAGTTGGGTTGAGTTTCAAACCAAGTGTTTTGTGACTTGAGTACGACTCCAATTTAAGTTAATTTATATACAGCTAAAATATGTAGATCTTTTCATAAAATTATTATTATTATTATTTGGAAAAGTCCATTCGCATTTTAAAATTAACAAATAATTATGGTGAGATTTCACATTACATTCCAATAATTTTATATGTATAATATTTTTGTAGCCAGACAAAACAAAATCAGCTCGTCTGGTTGCATAACCATAAATAATCAAATACACAAATCCTTAAATATAACAATATAACTGGCTATTTTACAGTACGTGGGTAATTTTTACATTATTCTGCAGATCGAATTATTTAGGGCAGGTAAAAGAGCGCAACTATTTCTTAATCTAACATTTCTAAAAGAACATTACAACAACTATCTAAATGTCTGCATTTCTGCACGAACGCGTTGTTGACTCACCTGTGAGAAGCTCTTCTTCTACCTGCGCTGGCAGTACAGACGCTTTTAATGTTATAGAACTTCACATAGGCCGACCATTGGCCGAGACAAGACGAGACGATGTGGGAGGGCAGAGGCTGAGCGCTGATTGGCTGTAGCAAGAAGGAGATTGACGTATGCGGGCAGAGGCGGCGGCCTGATTGGCTGAGGGAATGAACTGACGATAGTGAGACATTCCGTTTCCGAGGCAGCAGCCAATCAGAAACGCGCCTGTCTTTCATAATCTATAAACGTGCGCTGACTGGACTGAACCTCCTCTATTCTTATTATTAAGTCAGGATGCCACGAACCCCAAATGATCATCGTCGTGCCCCGATCCGGGACCCCCATTCTAAAATTTAGACATCTATCTATATATATAGACAATGTAAAAAGTATGTTATAAATGTCAAAAATATAATTAGGATAATTAGGTTTCTTTACAATTTAAATTACGTTTCCGCCCACCTAATCATTACAGTACTGTATTTATTTACTTATTTTGTGTCCATTTTTTTTAAATGTGAAAAATGTAAAAAAAAATAAAATAAAATTATATATATAATGTGTGTGTGTGTGTGTGTGTGTGTCTAAACTATTATTTGGGAAAATGTAGTTTCTATTAAGTTATTGTTTTTACCTATATATTTCTAATTTTTATTTATATATTATTTATTCACCCATTTACTTATTTTAGTCTATTTTTTATTTATTTGTTTTAATCTAATTTATTTATTTTCTTATTTTTGTTGAATTATTATTTACTTTTATTTTATTTATTTTAATCTATTTGTATTTATGGTATTATTTTAATCTTATCTTAATCTTTTACATTTATTTTTAACATTTTTTTTCCCCCTAAAAGTGGAATGTTAATAGTGGTGTATTCAAACAAGATATCTTCTCTCGCTCTCATTTCCCCCACATTATTTAGTACCAAATGCATGCATTATTCATCAAAATATATTTTATGTAAAAAAAAAAAAGTTCACACATAAGTTACTTTCACATTGCAATATTGTCTTGTGCTTCACGTGAACACAGACACTCTCCCACACAAACAAAAAAATGTTAATGCTAAGTGTATTTACTAGAAGCATGTTTATTATTAATGATATAAAACAAGTTATGAAACTTCAAGAACACAACATTCCTCTTGACTGACAATTAATAATACACTGTTGTATATATATATTCATTAATAGGCTCGGTGACAGTAGTTAAAGAGACTTAAATACTAAACAGCAAGAGCAGAACAGAGAAAGTCATTAAAGTTACAGAAAACAAAGAAGGGGAAAAAAAGAGAGTGAAGAAGAAGAGAACAAAAAGAGAGAAAAGAAAGAAAGATTTATATAAGAAACAGTACCTTTATACTTCTTCAGTGTTCAATACCGCTAGTACAGAGAGCACGTCACGCTGGTTAGTGAGTACAGCAGTAGTTTAAGAATGGCACACAAACATCAGTATTTAGAACCATGCAGAGCGCTTTAATACCCAAGCAACCAGCGTCAGTCCACAGTATCGTGCATGCCGAAGCATTCGTGTTAACGTTTCAAATGTCAAAGATCGCAATTCTCGAACAACCGGACCACAAGAAAAAAGCCAGAGGATATTAAAAAAAAACAAAAAAAAACAACAACAGACGGTTCAAACTTTAAGACTTCAAATGTTATTTGGCAAACAAACTGCAAAATGTAAAAGTTTGTTCATCTTCAATTGAGACACTTCTCGCATATAAGCAAGCAAAGTTTCAGCTCTGAAGTTTTGTCATCATCATCATCATCCAACCTTCATAATGAAGATGGTTCGAGTCCAGTGACTTCATAAACAACCTTCCAAGAGGCAACAAAGTGCTGGTCCTAAACTAGACACATTTTCCCTCAAACTTTATTTGAATAAGCAAAAACCATCAAGAGGTTCCTGCAGATCAAAAGATCAAGCAGCAAAAATCGCTGGCCGTCCCCTCGGCTCAAACACAGGAACGTTTCGTTCACGTCACAGACGCGCTGGCCAAATATTTGCACCAGTCTTTTCTCAGAGTGTTTCGATTCTGCTTCATCAGTGCAATAAACGTCATCATTGACTACTCTCAAACAAGAGAAACAGAAAGAAAAGAGAGATAAAGAGTGTGTGAGTGTATATACTAGAGACAAAAAGAGGTAGTGTGTGAATGCTTGTAGTTACGTATCTGAATGAGTGTGTGAATGTGTTTGAGAGAGAGAGAGAGAGCCGTATTCTCCAGGCCATGTCCATGGTGAAGCAGTCCCAGGATGAAGCCTCAGCCGTGGTAAGAGCTTCAGTGTGAGCGAATCCATCTGAATGAGTGTGTGAATGTGTTTGAGAGAGAGAGACAGAGAGAGAGAGAGAGAGCCGTATTCTCCAGGCCATGTCCATTGTGAAGCAGTTCCAGGATGAAGCCTCAGCCGTGGTAAGAGCTTCAGTGTGAGCGAATCCTCTGCTGTGCGTCAGCTTCAGCTCCAGTGTTCAACATCTTCACGCAGCTGCTCAGAGAGGCTTATCAATGACAGTCACACCTACACACACACACATACACACACAGCGCTCAATACAGTCATTCTACAAAGGCTTTGCTAAATTGATCTAAAATTATTTCAGATATTTATTTATATTAAATTAATTCATATTAACATTTTCACGTTTTTCTCTATCATCTAACATCAACAGTCACAAAAAATTCAAACAGAAATGATTTCTCATGCATTGTTGTAGATTTTGGAACTGACATAGCTTGTCAGAGGCTGATACAGATCAGTGCAAATTGGCCAAATATAAGCTTGGCTGATATTTGGGTCTATCACTATTCATTTACATGCAAAAGTATTGAACATTTGTGACTTTGAACACCAGGTCATTTGTGACACTAAACAACCACTAGATGGAGATCTATTCCACTCTATGCTCTCTTTTGGACTCACCTATCTGTTAATATTTGACCCATTCCATTTAAATACTTTTAATTAAGCACATTATGATTCTGTTCTTATAAAGTAACACAATAAGTTACCAATCATATGAAATTAGTATTAATAAATTAATTTATACTACGGAGGTGGCACAGAAGAACACAAAAGTGGCTTGTAGGTACATTTACAGACATTTAATGAGGCTCAGAGGTGGCATGAGTGCAATTAAATTCATAAATTCATGTGGAGATTAATGTTTTAAATATAAAATTTTGAATACAGAAATATTAAATGATTTAAACACTTTAAAATCACTTCCTTCGTTACCATGGAAATAGAAAGTGAAGTAGAATACATTGCATTGTGGGACATATGGTACATTTGGAAAGCATTGCAGGACATTTAGGTATTTTATTACATAACTGTTTAAAAGTTTGTGGTCAGTAGTTTTTTTTTTTTTAAGATAAGTCTCTTATGCTCAAAAATACAGTAACAAGTCATATTGTGAAATATTACTACAACTAACTGTTACAATTAAAATAACTGTTTTTTTATTTTTATTTGAATATATTTTAAAATGTAATTTATTCCTGTGATGGCGAATCTAAATTTTCAGCATCATCACTCCAGTCTTCAGTGTCACATGATCCTTCAGAAATCATTTTAATTTGCTGATTTGCTACTCAAAATACATTTCTCATGATTATTGATGTTGAAAACAGTTTTGCTGCTTAATTTTTTGTGGAAACCATAATTTCAGGATATATTTTCAGAATTCTTTGATGAATAGAAAGTTCAAAAGAACAGTATTTATATGAAAAAGAAATCTTTAGCAACATTAGAAATGCATTTACTATCATCTTTAATCAACTTAATGCATCCTTGCTGAATAGAAGTATTAATTTCTTTCTTTAAAAACATACCGACTTCAAACTTTTGAACAAACACTGCGTACTGCTCATAGTACACAAAAAGCAAGCAGTAGTTTGCTTCTTTTCCTGACCTGCGTAGCTGCGTCCTGTGCTCATGCAGGTGGGCAGTATGGTCCATTTATCAGTGTTTGGATTGTAGAACTCCGCTGAGGCCAGGTTGCATGAGCCATCATCGCCACCAACCACATATAACAGGTTATTCATGGCACACACGCCTGAAACACAGACAAATTGATTGAAATATACTGTTAATCCAAAAGCATCACAGCTGGAATTTTTTTGTGTCAGCGGACAGACTGATGCATGTTGTGCTGTTCAGCAAGGATTTGACCCACTCACCTGCATTCCTGCGGCACATGTTCATATCAGCCACCTGTTTCCATGTGTTAGTGGCAGGGTCATAAACCTCACAGCTCTTTCTAACCAAGGGCCCGTCGTGCCCACCTACTGCATACAGCAGACCTTTTAACACACCTACACCTGTCCAACACAAACACTTTGTGGTTTACACAGATACAGGTTCATGCCAGCATATGTGAAGGTATGCGTGGGATTGTGTATGAGTGTTACCTGCACCGCTACGGCGGATTCCCATCTCTGCTGTGTAGGACCATTCATTAGTGTTGGGTTTATAGGTAATGTTTCATTATCAATCACAAATTAAAATATATTAAGTACAATTATATGTGTTAAACACAATATTAATAATGTACACCTAAAACAGTTTGGGTTGGTAAGATTTTTTAAAATATATTTTTTAAATGCATTATGCTCACCAAAGATGCATTTATTTGATCAAAAATACAGTAAAACTGTAATATTGTGAAATATTATTACAATTTAAAATAAATGTTTTCTATTTGAATATATTTTCAAATGTAATTTATTCCTGTGATCAAAGTTCTTTAGTTTTTAGTAATTTTCAGCATCATTACTCCAGTCTTCAGTGTCACATGATCCTTCAGAAATCAATCTAATATGCTGATTTGCTGCTCAAGAACCATTTATGATTATAAACAGTTGTGCTGCTTCATATTTTTGTGGAAACCGTGACACATTTTTCTTCAGGATTCTTTGAGAATAGAAAGTTTAAAAGAACAGCATTTATTTTTTTTCAATTATATAATTATCCTTATTATTTAATCACTTATCAATGTAAGCACTAAGCAGAATCAAAACAAAATATGCAAATACACTAATATGGCAATATTCTCATTATTATAGGTATAATGTAATTTTGTACAATACATAATGGGGTCTCTTGTCTGATAAGGTTGAAGACCCCTTGTTTAGGCCCTTTTGTAACTCAGAATTCATCAGTATCAAAAGGCAAACAAAAGCAGAACAGTCATGTACGTCTATTGGCTGTGGCTGCTCATATACAGACGGCGATTGGCTTCTTGGCAGTCACTAACCTCCAACAACGCCGACTCCAACACTGCTGCGCCGCGTGTTCATGGGACTGACGTGGAACCACTCATTGGCCTCAGCGTTATATGCCTCTACAGTAGCTAAACCTGCAAACGAGCATCATCATCATCATCGTAATGGTCACAGATGTGGGAATACAGTATATGTTCATCATCTCAATCTTCATAATAATGGGCACTGTAACCATAACCAGCATAACAGTTATGCACTTCTCCATGTAAACAGTAAACAAATGCTGCTGCAACATCGTGAAAGCATTTCTGATGCAAGATAAATGACTATATTGTGCATGTATTACCTGTGCTGCCATCAAAGCCCCCAACAGCATAAAGCAGTCCGTTGAGGACAGCGGACCCTAGAGTTGACCTCCGGTCCTGCATGCTGCTGACACAACACCACTCATCTTTTACTGGGTCGTACGCGTCCACCGTCCTCACTCGCAACGACCCATTAAAACCTCCGACAGCATACACAACACCACCCATGTACACCACACCTACACATACATAAAACCATTGTGTCTTTCAAACTTACGATATTAAGAATCAAAAATCATCACATTTTTTGCAACAGCTGTTGAGTAAACAAGTACATCTGTATTGGGGCAAGTTGTCACACGCCTTTTAAATGTTATGAACTTACATAATTTATTAACTACAAAACTGGTTCATTAATTATTTTGTATTTCATAATTGATTTCAATTTTTGCTGGAATGTCACGATAGGATGTTTAATATTTAATGGCGGGTTTCACTAGAACAACTTATCCCATATAATGTCACAATATACACTACTGTTTACAAGTTTGAGATTGGTAAGATCTTTTTTTAATGTTGTGAAGGCTGCATTTATTTGATCAAAAATACAGTAAAAACTGTAATACCGTGAAATATTATTACAATTTAAAATTTCCAATTTCTATGTTAATGTATTTTAAAATGTAATTTATTTCTGTGATCAAAGCTGAATTTTCAGCATCATTACTCCAGTCTTCAGTGTCACATGATCCTTCTAATATACTGATTTGCTGCTCAAGAACCATTTCTGATTATTATCAATGTTGGAAACACTTAATATTTTTATATTAAATATCAGGACTCTCTGATCAACAGAAAATTTGTCCTTATGTGTCACTTTTGATCAATTTAATGCATTATTGATGAATAAATGTTTTAATTGCTATTAAAAGCAAATCTCTAAATTTGACCCCAAACTTTCGAATGTCGAAAATTGTGTTCAATGAACTGTATCCTTTTTGCAGGGACAATAAGTAGTCAAGACTTGCAGTATGTGCCTATACAAATTCATGTTTTCTGCATAAAAATATTCATTATGCATAAAAAGTCTGTGGGGTACATATTCTACTTAAGCCTCTTTTGTGATGTAAAGATAATCTAGGGAAACCTAAACTTGAAGTTTCATTTTTATTTTTCACCCACATGCCCAGATTGACCAACATGCCAATCATCTTGCAGTCACGTTTACAGTGACTGAACATCATTTTCAGCACCGGGGTTAATTAAACAGCGCCATGTTTTTAGCAGCATACACATCACGACAGACTCCCCAGCAAATAGCATTTCATGCAGCCCAGAGTCTCCATCATTATTTTCAGTACACAGTTAATCAGTATCACCATGACAACCTTTAGAATCGAAGTAATTACAGTAAGCGGTCAAGTCAGTACTGGAGGGATGAAGTGAAGTTCTGACCTGGAGAGCTGCTGAATGTGAGATCAGGTGAGTCATTCTGGTGTCTGCACTGAATGCCAGTCATTGTCAGTGATAGGAGCGTGCAGCTCACCTGCTCGACACCGTCTGGAGGGCAGTTCTGCCACTTGGAACCATCTCTCCTCCTCGAAATCATAGCACTCCACACTGCGGATGGCTTTAGGAGCCTGTCCCCCCACCACCATCATCACCTTCAACACACACACGGGAAAAAACTCCAAATCAAAAGCCTCTAATACTGGTTCGCAAACCTTTTTTTAAAATGCGGTCTTAATTATTTTGTTCATGCGTTTTAAAACATGTGCCATGTTTTTAGAAACAAATTCTTCGTATTCATGATTTTTTTTTTTTACTATAAAATTTTTAATAAAAGTTTAAATATAATAACTGTAAAAATGTCATGTGTAAACATTGTGAAAAGAATGTAGTATATAAAAATTATAAATTCATAAACTGTATGCACTTTTAGGGGAGCTGTGTAATTTTAGTATTATTTATATGCTATTATACTTTTTTATTAATATTGTTATTAATATATTTAGTAATAATAATAATATTTAGTTTTTTTATTTGAATAAATTTAAATTTTTTTGCACCTTTAACACACAAATGGGAAAAAAACTCTAAATAAAAACCCTCTAGAACACTGGTTCTAAACATTTTTTTAAAATCTAGTTTTAATTATTTTGTTAATGTGTTTTAAAACATGTGCCATGTTTATAGAAACATATTGTTCGCACTCATGAATTTTTAACTATAACATTTTTAATAAAAGTTTAAATATAATAACTCATGTCATAATAATGTCATGTGCAACCATCAAGTAAAACTAATGTAGCATATATAAATTCTTAAATTGCAAACATTATAAATTCATAAACTGTATGCACTTTTGGGGGAGCTGTGTAATTTTAGTATTATTTATATGCTATTATGCTTTTTTATTAATATTGTTATTAATATATTTAGTAATAATAATAATATTTAGTTTTAAAAAATTTTTTGAATAAATTTTTTTTTTGCACCTTTAACACACACATGGGGAAAAAACTCTAAATAAAAACCCTCTAGAACACTGGTTCTAAACATTTTTTTTTAAATCGTTTAAATTTTTTTGTTAATGTGTTTTAAAACATGTGCCATGTTTATAGAAACATATTGTTCGCACTCAAGAATTTTTAACTATAACATTTTTAATAAAAGTTTAAATATAATAACGCCGTCATGTCATAATAATGTCATGTGCAACCATCAAGTAAAATTAATGCAGCATATATAAATTCTTAAATTGCAAACCTTATAAATTCATAAACCATACGACTTTTTTGGGGAGCTGTGTAATTTTAGTATCATTTATATGCTATTATACTTTTTATTAATATTTTGAATTAGTTTTTTGTTTTTTAATATAACAGTTTAATTAATATAACAGTTGCTGAAGAGGTGGATTAAAATAATAAATATTTAGATTTTTAGTTGTTTTGGCTTATTTTAAATAATTTAGGTCCCTGATCCCCTGTTGAGAAACACTGAACTAGAACTTTCACTAGTCTCTTCAGGCAGATTTATTTAATAAAGCTCTGTCAAAGAGATGTGTATAAGCATCTCTATCATTTAGAATATTTATCACTATTTTAACATTTATATGACATTTGTACAAATCATATTGATTTTATGGCATATGATATTAAACTGGTTAAAACCTAATAACATTTCAATTACCAGTCTTAATATGAAACATTTTGACTGAAATCCACAAATGACTAATGGTTGAGCCAAGATGCTCAGATATGACAAGAGTTTGAATCCAGCTTGCGTTATGTACAGAACACATTCCCTGACTTCTGCTCTTCACAGCCAATATCAATGAAGATGTCCACAATTAAAAAAACAAACAAAAAAAGACCACAATCAAGGCTGTCCAGACAAACCTTAGGGTAGCTGACGGGTGTTCTCACTCTGGTGCGGATGGTCTTCATCATGGAGCGCTGCTCGGCCGGCAGCAGGTGGTACTTCATGGCTTCAATTAGGTAGTCTTTACAGGCGCTGCTGTTCTTTACTAAAGTTTCCTCCTCCACCCTCTATGTACACACACATGAAATTAAATTACAATTAAAGAACATCAAAGCACATGTTCACTAACTCGTATGCACGCACATACACACGCACACACACACCTGTACGAGGTATTCTCTGGAAAGAAGGGGTAAGCGAACATGTTCCATCAGATGAGCCATGTGTTCCTGACGCACATCTGTGTCATGTGTGACCCACGCTATGACCGCTTCAAACACCTATAAACACACAGGGAGAACTGATACACGTCTCATCTCTTATACCTGGGATTCAATCACAAATTATCAGCACGAGATACAGGTGTCAACAAGGTTTAAAACATTTTGAGATCTAATAACTACAGTCACATACAGAGGTAGTGTGCATGTGACCACATCGCATTTGTAGCATAAATGCTAATACATCCTGGACAATATCAAAGCCACGCCCACTCATCTATCAATCATCCACTGCAGTGCACTGACAAATGACTAGGCATCCACAATAAAATCATTTTAAAAATCTTGTTTTAAAAAGTTCTTAAAGGGGTCATATAATGCGATTTCATTTTTTCCTTTCTCTTTGGAGTGTTACAAGCTCTTGGTGCATAAAGAAGATCTGTAAATAATGTTCTTTTTAGCAACATCATATGACCCCTTTAAAAAATACTCTTTGTATTCATGTTTGTTTCATGTTTTTCCTTTTTAAACTATAAAATTTTTCAATAAGAGTTTAAATATAATTTTATAAATATATCATTTGAAAAACGTAATGTGGAGTAACTATTTCCTTACACCCTGAATCCATATCTTTTACTAAAAATTCATAAATTTTATGACGTTTTTGGGGAGCAGTGTTAAGAATTATTTATATGCTATTATAGTTCTTATTAATATTTTGAATTAGCTTTTATTTTTAATTTTTCCAGTTTTCATTTTAATTTTAGTTTGCTTTTTAGTAATTTTGATGTTTTTTTTATTCTAGTAATTTATGTGCTTTAGTTATTTTTATTAGCTTTTGTTTTTTTATATTTTTTCCATTTTACTTTTTAAAAATATACTATTTAGGTATAATTTGTTAATTTCTATTATTTTCCATTCAGTTTTAGTTTATATCCAGTTAGTAATTTTAGTGCTCCAACTTAAATTTATTTCAAGTAGTTCCCAATCAAGTATTTAAGCAAACCTAATATTTAGATTTTATTTTATTTCAGCTTTATTTCAGTTAACAGAAATAGTTTCAGTTTTAGGATTAGTTAACGATAATAACTCTGTTGAGGAGTCACATCAAGACATCTTAACCTAAACTAATCTTGCCTTGTATAAAAATATATATAAAAATATAAAAAGGTCATTTATTAAATTATCTGAAACTTTAAAAGAATTATTGTCCTTGACAAACAGTCATTAGAGTCTGCAGGGCTCCTCTGTAGGATTTTATTTCCTTTTATACATTTCTTTTCTGCAGAAATAAGCATTTGGTCAAATTTGAATGCATGCAGTCAAGAAATGAAACGCATTCTCCTCAAAATCTGATCACAGGAGATGTTTCTGAGATGCATGACAGTACAGGGTGAAAACAGCACTTTGTCAAATCACTAGAGACGGATGTTAATACCAGGTGGAACAAGCTAAAACTAATAAAAACACAAAAATATGATATCTTTAGAAGCTGGTGTTGCCATGGCAAAAAAACAAAAATACAACAACAGCATGGTGCCCACGCCTTGCATCTTCCAACTCCTGTTTCCATGACGACCAACAAGCTCTCATCAGCAGCTACAGCTATTCCCATTGTGTTATTGTACCAGCAGTATGTTACCATGGCAACAGAGCTGCTAATGTCTGCATGATAAAATCACCTGTGTGCTGCTATAGTTACAGCAACACAAGCCTCTCATCACGCGTGACGTTACCTTTTCTTCTGATGGAATGGTCAGTTTGTCGCTTGCTATGAGGCTGCACACTTGCTCCATGCCCAGATTGAGAAACTCCTCACTCTGCACGACCTCTGAGAAGTGTTGCTCTGTGAGTGTCAGTGAGTGGGAGAGAGATTGAGACCGTCAAACAGAGTTACCGACACACATCCAATAAGAAACATCACTATTGTGACTATCGTGTGTGTGAATTTCTTGCTTGAGTTTCTCTTTTATGGAAGGACACACACCGGCGTACGTGTTGGCGAGATTGAGCAGCTCCATGCAGGCGTGCAAATCGGCGAAGGCAAGGATACCAAGGCAGTTGGTTGGGTGAAGTTGAGTTATGAGAAACTCGCAGCAGGCCTTTTTAACTTCCTGTAGCTGCAGCAGACCAGCGGCGGGCAAGAGCACCTAAACTCACACAGACACACACACACACACACACACACACACAGAAAGAGAGAAAAGACCTCAAAAGACCCCTTCAAGAAATTTGTCTGCTGTATTTTTCCTTGTCCTGGCAAGAATTTTACATGCATTAAGGTAATTTTTCTAAATGGTGCTAAACTGTTTAAAACATCAAACAAATTTTTTTTAAATGTTAAACAATTTTTTTTTAAATTATTAGTTCAATAACCATTTTTTCACATTGAACATCCTGTTTCACTCAAAAATACATACGTTTACATACATAAAATGGTTTGCAAATGTCATTTTTTGACTTTAAGGAAGCTGTTTTTAACCCTCTGGTGTTGTTTGGTCATTTTGGACAGAAAGTTTGTTTTGGTTTGGTATTGTCTTTTTTTTCTCACTTCATTAGAATGCTACAAATCTTGGTTTTGGCACTTGCTAAGTGAACACACACACACACACACACACACACACACAAAACTATGGACAGGATTCGAAAAGGTTAAATGGTCCTGAAAAAAATGGTCACACTTGTATTGTTTGCGGTCAAAAGTGAATTTCATCTAGTAGAAACATTTGGTGCTCAACCTCACATTTGGAACACAACTTGTTTAGATTTATGGCTTTGATTTTCTTGCTGTTTTAGAGTAGAATGTGTTTTGGAAACTAGATTTTCATATAAAATTTTAAAATAACATTTTTGTGCATTTTTCATAATAATAAATTGAAACTTCTATAACTTGTTTTTTAGTTTCACTTTTGCAACTTTTTTCACTTCAGCAATAATCTGCCTAGTGTTTTCTTTAAAAAGAGACCAAACTTAAGTCTGTGCTCCAAAGCATTCAAGATTTGCGACAGTTTAAACTGGAAATTTCATTTTCAGGTCTATGCTCTAAAAGTGGTTAACAGATCATAACTATGTCATAAGTATTATTTAGTACCATAAAATCCCCTAGAAACACAAAATATTAAATGAAAAACATTATCAAACTAAAATATAGCACACTCTTTTAATAAAATAAAAAAGGTCATTTTTGAACGCCACCTAAACAACACCATAGGGTTAAGCATCTCACGTAACTAAATGTTGCATCAAGTTAAAAGTAGACCAAGTTGCATTTCATCTGGTAGTCAACTAGTCCTGGGTCATTCTTACTGTTAAGCCTTGCATCAAAGTTTGAATTTCAATCCATTCCTAAAAACAATTCGGCCTCATTTTAACACCCTCCGTCTAGTCAACTGTGCAGACACAGACACCCACCCACACAACACACACACGCACGCATGCACACTTCCTGGATGTGATTTTCTGTGCTCTCAGAGTAATACCAAAGAACATAACATAAAAAGAGTACAGATTCAGTCAACTGTGTTTTTAGGCCATGCTTTCATAGCATGCAAAAACTAAACATGGTGCTCCAGTCCCCCACACACGCGGTTACCTGCACATTCTCCTCTGTTACTTGGATCTCAGCAGTGTAAACATAGTCGATCAGCATTTCCAGAGTCCAGCCGTCAATCTCTTTGATTCGAACCTTCTTCTGACGGCTCTCAGTCATCTCTCCTACAATCACAAATATTCACAAAATATTCCTTTTGAATGTTTTTTTTTTTTGCTTAATACTATATATATATATATATAATAAAAACATATTTTGCACATAACATTAAATACAGTACATTTAAGCACAACTAAATGTACAGTACAATAGCAATAAATGCAGTAATAACTAAGTTAACTTAAAAGTTAATAGTAATGTCTGGGGTGCTGGAGGCAGGAGTACGATTCCCAGATTGCACCATCTAATGTATAAATAATCCAAATAGCTGTTTACTGCATTATTTGGACTGGTGTTGTGCTAGTGGCTCCAAAAACGTAATGCATGTTAGCGCTAACTCCATCTCTACCCTCAAATACCCGTCACAGTCATAGTGATCTGTATGCTACATGTTGAAGAGAAACGCAGAGTACATCAAATTTGCTGCCTAGCTTTTATCTCTGTGTCATTATTTTCGAGAGACTTTGCATCTTTAGCTCCAAAGATTATTGTTAGCGGAGTAAATATTACATGAATTAAAAGTGAAACAATCACTGTATGAAAAATGTATTTATAAGCCTCAACAGATAACATCGGGCAGTGACTCATTTCAATTCCTCATCATGAGATCAAAGATTTTCGTATTTGGCTTTTTTTTTAATTTTTTTTTAAAATACACATCCAAACATAAGAAACGTGTGTGAGACATTTTTTTTATTCCCAGACTATTCCCATATTCCAGCAGCAGATGGCCGGCCCTAATGTGACCCTCCGCTGTTGTGAATGTGTGTGTGTTAGTGTGTGCTCACCTGTAAACATAGCGTGGAAGTATGGACACCCCGCAGCTAAGACGACTCGATGAGCAGCTATCTCCACATCCTCCGCAATGATGGTGACATCACACAACACACTCTGACTGCAGAGAGAGGAAAGATTTCATACACACTGATCACTTCTCACACACAGCGGTCACACAAAGGATTTGAACAAAATATCTGAATGGCACTGAATTAGACATTACAAACATCAAACCTAGCAGCATCTGCAAATACAGGAAGTAAGACCTCAGACCTAACTTCACTTCTTTTGAGCAGTTTTGCAATAGTTTTAAAGCAACTGGTGTAATGATGATTTTAGTGGATGTATGAAGTCAGTTCTCCTCACACAGATGTCCTAGCAAGTGTAATTCATCACATTAACTGCTTATGGTCATTTTTAACAATATAAGTGTCTAAATACATTTTTTCTTAAATGATGTTTTCAACATAAGATCAGCATGTTTGTAAGGCAATTTTTTTTTTTATTCCTAGACTATTACTATATTCCAGCAGCTCTGACTGGATGACCAGCCTAATGAGTGACCTTTAACTGGTTTGTCTTTATTTCGACCAATATATCTATTGCTTTATATTTTGAAACCCAAAACACTTCATATTTCTGAAATGTTTAGCTTGAAAAGTTTGAGGTCGATTTTTGAAAACAGAAATATTGTAAAAAAAACAACCTCTTACCATTTTAATATATTAATAAATTATAATAATACAATTTTATATATTCCTGTGCTAAAAGCTGCATTTCCAGCATCATTACTCTTCAGTCTTCAGTGTCACATGATCCTTCAGAAATCATTCTAATATGCTGATTTGCTGCTCAATAAACATTTCTGATTATTATCAATGTTGAAAACAGTTGCTGCTTCATATTTTGTGGAAACTGTGATACATTTTTTCAGGATTCTTTGATAAATAGAAAGTTTTGAAATAGAATGTCTGTGGCAACTGTATTAATATAACTGTGTTACAGCAACAAATAACATTTTAATACACTCACTGCAAAAGCCCAGTCATAATTCACTCAAGTTAAAAAAAAATTCTGACTTTGTTTTCTCATCCTCATGTCATTCCGAAATTGTGTGACTTACTTTTTTTTCCTGTAGATCACCAAATGGGATAGTAGGCAGACTAGTTAACCTCAGTCACCACTCACTTTCATTGCATCTTTGTTTTGTTTTTTAATACAATAAAAGTGAATACTGGCAGAGTGAGCTGTCATTCTGCCAACATCTTCCACAGATGAACGTAATGACAGAATTTTTATTTTTAGGTTAACTATCCATTTAAGAGCACACACATAAAAAGCAGTGTTATTAAGAGGCACTGCATGATTTCTACCAGTATCTCTCTCACACACACACACACACCTGCGGAGCTCGTTCATGATCCTGAAGGCTTTCCTCATGTGACGTGGATTGATGGTGACCGCACTCTGTTTCTCACACACATCCTCCTTCAGCTCCACAGCTTTATGGTGGCAAAGCTTAGTGCATCTAAAACACACACACACACACATGTTGGTATTGGTGGTTTATGGGGACTCTCCATAGGCGTAATAGTTTTTATACTGTACACACTGTATTTTCTATCGCTCTACACCAACCCTACACCTAAACCTACCCCTCACTGAAAACTGTGTGCATTTTTAGATTTTCAAAAAAAACACCATTTAGTACGTGGACCAGGAAGTGTCCTCATAAACCACATTCATATCGATATACATGTGTCATACCCATGTCATTATACAAATTTGTGTCCTCAGAAACCACACAAACCGGTGCAGTACCATTACACAAGAAGTGACCATATGGCAATTATCAATTCCTAAACATGTGACATAAAGAGTGTTGGAGGTGTGTGGCCAAAGACAGAATTATGTCATGTGATCTTATGGCTGAACAGATTTACTTTGTATTGACATTACAGTAGTGTGAACGTATGTCAGGTCTCTCTCTCTCTCTCTCTCTCTCTCTCACTCACACATACACACACAGCTCTTACAGTGGATGTATCTCCATAGCGCTGGTTCTGTTCACATCAGTCTGCGTCTCTTCATCTCTGGTCGGGCTCTGTCGTTTAAATCCCCGCTGTGTCCCGTCCACCGAGCCGAGCCGAACCGGGCTGGACCGAGTCCTGGCGTGCGGGTCCAGCTCCGCTAATGAAAATAAAAAAGACAGTCGGCCTCAGAAACTCTGTCAGTGTGACTGACGTGCCCGAATAATGAGCGACAGACGGCTCCGTTGTGTGGGTGAAGACAGGACACATCCAGAGACTGAGACGCTACAGCTGAGCTCACACACAAAAACAAGAGTGAAGCGAAGACTAACACTCTCCTTCGGCGAAACACAAAAACACGCGCGTCCCTACAGCGCCCCCTACTGCTGGAAGACCGAATGACAGGCTGCCGAGAGACGGCAACGTGCATCTCCGAGTCAAACAATGTCTTAAAGAGGACATCCTGTTCTAATTCTTTTATATGATTCATTATTATTTTTATACATTGGGATCAGTAAGATGTGTTTATTGGTTTTGAAAGAAGTCTATTATGCTCAGCAAGCCTGCATTTAATCAAAACTACAGTGATATTTAGAGATACAGTAATAACAGAAATATTGTGAGATTTTATTATATATTAAAATAACTGTTTTCTATTTTATGCATTTTAAAATGTAATATATTCCTGTGATGGAAAGCCGAATTTTCAGCATCATTACTCCAGTCTTCAGTGTCCTTCAGAAATCATTCTAATATGCGGATTTGCTGCTCAAGAAACATTTCTGATTATTATTAATGTTGAAAACAGTTACTGCTTAATATTTTTGTGGAAACCATGTTTTATTTTTTTTTCATGAATCTTTGATGTAAAAAATACAAAAGAACAGCATTTATTTGAAATAGTTTAATTAAAAAATGTCTGACACCTATATTGTATTAAAAGAAAGTTATTCACAAAAAAAAAAAAAAGTCAATAGCTTTATCAGTGTCCCACCCTCAAACCATACACTTTAAAAAAAAAAATTGGGCAAGATGGGCAAATGGTCAGTTTTTACTTTTGTGAATATTTCTCAGTATTTTTGAAAATTAATTTCTGCATAGGGACATACCTTAAAGTCCTGATTACAACAACAACAACAACAACAAAAAACTATTAAACATTTCACTGTTATTGCAAAAAATTGTTCATTAAACGTGCGACGTCACCAATTATAGGCCATTAAATTTCAATTACCATGCATAAAATGTCCCCACTAACTGACAGGTTTCATTGAAACAAGTTTCCTGAGGCTCAACACTTATCTCTGTAAATGGCAGAGAAGAATCTGATCACAGATCACACTCGTTTGTCAATCAGAAAACATGGAGGAGGCTCTCTGCCAATGGCTTGAATGTTGGGCGGGGTTACCTGTTCATCAGAATAACGTCAAATGTCAAAAGTTCATCTGAGATGCAACATTAAAGCATCAAAAGTAACAAAGAAGGAGATACGAGATTTCATTGCTACAGTGTTTATTTTTCCTCAGTCATTTGTAGCTGAATTGCATCCAATAAACAGAATAGGTCTCTGAAATATTTAACAAAATATAACCAATATTTACAATAGCTGTATTAAAAATACAAAAGTAGTTACAGACTTTGCCAGGTGTCTTTGTAAAAGACGTAGAAATACATGTGATTCTTCTAGATTTGGCTGGGTAGAAACACAGGAGCTACAAGGGATACATCTGAACTATCACAAACGCACGACAATCTAAGCAAAATATACTGTTGTAACTATTTACTGATCATCTATGTAACAACTATAATTTATATATTCTTGACTACAATCTCTAGCTTCTGAAAACCTGTGCAACAATTCATGATTTGTGCCATGCACTTGGATAGTTGGAGACAATGGTACGGACAGATAAAATTAAATAAAAATACAAAACATAAAATCTTTTCAAACTGAAACTTGTGAGCACATCTGGAAAGTTTTAGGAACACGATCAGATAAGAAAAGGCATGTTACAACGATCATATACTCTTGAGTAACAAACACTGATATCAGCACAGAGAAGACGTCTGAGACCATTGAGGTTGGTGAGAGGCGGCTGCTCAGTCTTTTCTTTCTGTCTTCAAGTGTCCGAAGAGAACATCTCTCTTTCTGTGATTGATTTCAGCACTCCCCCTCTCTCTCACACACACACACACACACACACACACACACACACGGTTTCTGTAACACGTGACATACTTATTAAAAATTCAAATGGAATAATACTGTTTTCTATGGTTTTGTAACACTGATATTGCATCATGTGCAACACCTCGCATCACTCTACGCTTAAAATGTTTTTATTATGCAATAGTCTATTTGTTCCTTCTTTTCTTTGTTTTGCAGAACTTGTTAAAAGTGCCAACATTTTCTCTGCTCCTCTCCTCTTTCACAGTGATCTCCACGAAGACCCAAATGCGTTGCTGTAGTTCAGTCCATGACCACGTTTACATATCAACTCTCATATGGATGTTACGAAGAGATACGAAGTGTCTCTTATTAAACTGCAGATATTTGCTCGTTTTCTGTAGAGAAAAAAGACAAAAAAGAGCTTGACTTATTTCCAGAAAATAATAAAAATACATTTTAAGAGATGGATTGATATGGAGTTATTATAGCTAAACTAAAACTGAAACTTAAATTAAAACCATAAAAAAACAAAACAATTGTCATTACAATTGAAATAAAATAAAATTTAACTTAAAAATTATTTCTTTCGCCAAGCCAACATTTTAATTGAGTTTAACCTGATGTACTAAAATAAATAAAATCTATAATAACTGAAAATTAAAATTGATAAAAACCATATAGACATACATAAAAAAAACGATAAAAATGACAAAAACGCACAACAAAATTACTAAAACTTTAATATTAAAATGAAAACGTAAAAAACATAAAAATAAAAAGGATTCAAAATATTAATAAAAACTTTAATAGTATCTCAGAGATACTAAAATAACACTGCTCATGAACAATACAGATTATTTTCATATTTCATTCTACAATTATCAGTGCAGAATTGCTTTTTAATTGTTTTTCCTGTTTATCACAATTATAACAATAAAATCACAATATAAATAAGCAGATATTTGCTCGTTTTCTGTAGAGAAAAAAGACAAAAAAGAGCTTGACTTATTTCCAGAAAATAATAAAAATACATTTTAAGAGATGGATTGATATGGAGTTATTATAGCTAAACTAAAACTGAAACTTAAATTAAAACCATAAAAAAACAAAACAATTGTCATTACAATTGAAATAAAATAAAATTTAACTTAAAAATTATTTTTCTTTCGCCAAGCCAACATTTTAATTGAGTTTAACCTGATGTACTAAAATAAATAAAATCTATAATAACTGAAATTAAAATTGATAAAATCTATATAGACATACATAAAAAAAACTATAAAAATGACAAAAACGCACAACAAAATTACTAAAACTTTAATATTAAAATGAAAACGTAAAAAACATAAAAATAAAAAGGATTCAAAATATTAATAAAAACTTTAATAGTATCTCAGAGATACTAAAATAACACGGCTCATGAACAATACAGATTATTTTCATATTTCATTCTACAATTATCAGTGCAGAATTGCTTTTTAATTGTTTTTCCTGTTTATCACAATTATAACAATAAAATCACAATATAAATAAGCACATTTTTTATTCTATGCAAAATTTTAGGCGGTGTAATTGTAAATCTACACATTTCTTTCTTGGCTTTTATTTAATAAGTTGAATGATTATCCAAACAATAAATGAAATATTTACTGCCATACCAGCATCTATATACAAATAGTAATAACACAGAAGTAATGAAACAACAATTGACAACCAACTCACATCAATATAACAAACATTACATATGATTTTTAAATAAATGAATGTATATTGGTAAAAGTATCAGTGTCAAATAGATTATTGGTCTTTCTCTAGCAGATTTTAACAATACAAGTTAGTCCTGGTCTTTCTATTTGATTTTTTTTTTACTAATATTTTTATAGTGATTACTTCATAATGACTTAAGCTGGAAAAATGACTCTTTGTTATTGTCTTCTTGCATTATTGACAAACTATTTTCCTGTTTGACACTGTAAAGCTGCTTTGACACAATCAGTATTGTATAAAGCGCTATATAAATAAAGGTGACTTCATCAAATACTCACCATCCGGTTGTGGTCGTCGTGGTGACTGGCAGTAGTTGTATGCTGGCAACCTACTGGATGGGTGTGGTGGAGGAGGATCACATGACCTTTTAAGGAATCGAGATCTCTGCAGAGCCGCTGTGTAGTCTGGTGGGCGTCGCCCATGCGCATGACTGTGGCTGTCTGCCTCAGCCAATGACAGCGCAGTATAACCAGGTGGTGTGGGCGGCGGCTCTCTAAAACGTCCCTCTCTCTGACTCGCAGCGTTCTTGTTTGCGTTTGGAGTCTCGTCTTTTCCACCTCTGCGTTTTATCGTTCCCGTGTCTCCTTCCAATTCATCGCCCCAGTAGCCAGTAGGTGTGGTCATGTGACTACGTCCCATCCCTTCTGACGGCGTCTCCCAGCTGCGGTTGTCATAATAACCCACACGCTGTGGAATGCTCTGGATGTTGTCATGGGAACCACTGGAGCAGGAAGTCCAGCTGCCACGGCCGCTGTCTGCTGCGTCCAGTGATGAACGGTCACACTGATCCTGAGTCAAGGAGTAGGACCTGAGAGAAAGAAACATAGAAAGACTTTAGAAATAAGGTACGAGACTAATTGTATTGACTGATCAACATTCATAATTAATATTATAACATAACTTGTATACATCTATGTATATAAAAGCCCTTACCCCAGGCTTATCTGGTCAGGTTCAGCTCTGCGTGTGCTGAGCGGGTTTGCAAGCGTATGGGGTTGATCAACCATGATGAGGTCAGAGGAGGAGGAGCTTAACAAACTCAACTGATCCGATGCGTCACTCACCACTAACTGTGGGCCTATGAGAAAAACAAGCATAAATAACCAAACAATTAAATACTTCTGAAAATGTCTTACTCTTTAGAAATGTGAATCGGAGTTCATCTGATTCACAATTAATTGGTTTCCGATTTCAAAAATTCTATTCAACACATTTGAAAAAACACAAATGTATTAAAACATGCACTTCTTGCAAATTAAAACATCACTCATTACAAAAACTCTATTAGAAATATGTATCTATAAGTGCACATTGCATAATAAAGTACAATTAGATAACTTACTAAATAATGCAATATTCAATGTGATACGATAATCATAAGTAAATCAATTAAAATGAAAACGTATTCAAAAACTGAAAATTAT